CGGCTTCAGTGCCTTCTTTCTATAAGTGCTCTAGGTCTTCCTGACGTAGCGCAACGGTATCAAGACTACAGTGTTGTGCGTTTTCAGTTGTCTCGAAAACGCCCGATAATTCCATACGGAGGATTGCATATGAACGAGGATTTGTTGTCTTTGCCGATCGAAAAGAAAATTCGTAGCCGGTCTTGATGGCTCACAAAATGGTGCTTAAAAGAAAAGCTAATTTGTGCACACAGACAAGACGATTGCCATTTACGATTAACTGTGTCTGTGGATGCATGATAATGACATTTATCCTGCTCGTGTATAACGTCAGATTGGCCTATACGAAATCATAGAGACTAAGTTCTGTTGCATTACGGCCTAACTTAAGGTATTTCAAGCACAGATGATGGCGAAACAAAGGTTAATTACCTTAAATTGGCAGATGTCCGTAGCATGCACACGAAATACATGAAATAGTTTACTATTAGTTCAATAATTGACGTCGATTCTGGGCACCAGTACTGAATATCACATGAGACTGAAAAAGAACTGAGGCAATTACTCAATCCTTTTCATCCGATCGTACTTGGAATTGGTAGATCGGTGCTTTAACATAGTCTAACTAGCATCGAGGATATTGCATATTATGCCTCATTACGCGCGAAAATATTCGGCAGGGGATACGGAGAGTTCAACCCACTCTGTTTTCTCAGGCATACACCGAAAACCGAGAACTATATGTCCCGCCAAAGGATTCTACAGTTGGTCCACTGTTCACAACTGCATCAGAATGTCGTCATGGCGTTGCATAAATCCCCATAGACATGTGAATTATATCGTTATTCTGCAGCGTCCGTCTTGTTTAATGATTTCGAAGTCTTTGTATAACCTGCGCAAATTGCACAAAGGCTGATTCTCATTTCCGAGAATGTATGCAGTAGTTGTAGCCGTTTCAAAGTGCTTCGAAAATCCGCATTGTCTCTGGGAGAAGTCTCTCGTTTAAGTGCGCAATCGGATGCTCGGGGTTAATTCAAAAAGACTAAGGAGATGAATCTCGGCGGTTGTCAAGGCTTTTTCGGCTGCCCTTTCGAGCGCTGAGATGGAAAGTAGGGATGCCTTGGGGGTCTTATACAATTGATTCTTTTTTCCACGTTTTCAACAGCAAGCTCTACTGGACTAAAAGTTAAGGGCCGCCATATTTGCGGACTTCAGCTGGAATAAGTTCGATGCGTGAAGTTTTGCCAGTTGACTTCGAAAACAATGCCTTCGTTTTTGGCAGAGCATACGATCGATCAGTATGAACCGTGGTTTTAATTTGAGGGAGCCTCATAAAGTCCACACGCAGACTGTGGGGGCATATAAAAAAATCGGTCAGACGCATCCGAACCTGTGACCCTTTGGTAGTAAGATGGCTTCACCTGAACATAGGAGGGGTTCTGTTGCAGGTTTTGTTTGGGGAGGGGGAGGGGGCGCAGACTGGTTTGGCAGTCAAACAACGCTTCCTCTTGAAACGGTCGGTTAAGTATTGTATTTGCTTCGCCACGAGAACCAGCCAACAATTGTGCACCCTCCCCCAGAGCCTTTGATAAAGCTGCCATCCGTACCAGGATAATAGTCTTATTTTTGGTACACAGCTATAAGTATGAACCCCATTAAGCAAATGCTTCTCCAACAGCTGGCGCCAGACTTCACTGTTGTTGTCTGTCAGCCAGCCTTAATGCTGTATACGTTCAAGTGCAAAGAAGATTGTAGCAGCGGTGTAGGTAGCTATCTTCAGTCTCCTACTTTCTGTCAGCATCCAACGGGATATGAAAATGCCTCAGAGGGACGTTCACTCTTCTAGTGAAATCCTGCCCGTCCGATATGAGCAAGTTACGCAGTGTTCACATCTTTTGATGATAGAATTGTCCTTAAGGCATCGAAATTATTTAAGTCGCAAGCTTCGCTCAAGATAATGTATCGGTCGGGTTTGCATTCGGAAAAACGCTTCGACTTTGTGACGATCAGTTCATCCAGCATTTGCCACTGACTTAAATGAGAGTGCACTCGTGTGATCTTTCATTTAGAGAGGTGGGATACTCGGTTATTATTGAGCAGATCGTGCTATATGTAGGTTTACCATCGTCACTCTATTAATACTACAGGTATTGAAACCATGACAACCAAGGGAATGCGTGGGGGTTGAGTACTTTTCTGTTTGCAATGATTCCATAGTGCGAGCAGCGTCCAACATCCACAGTCAATCCATGAACCAGTACGCTGGGGCGAATTTAAAAGGATTTTTTGTGTAGGAGTAAACTGTCTCTCTGTATATATGTTTATTTGAACATCTCAGGTGGCCACTAATTTCCAAAATGTCTAACGACATCGGTGGTGAGATAACGATCTGAATGAACCTGGACAACCTACGGAATAGAATGTCAGCCTCAACCTGACGACCCTTAAGGCAAAAAACCGAAGTTTACATGGAAAGTGGCGGAATGGAAAGGAGCATTCGTGCGTGCACCATATAGCGTTCATTCTCTCAGTCTTTTTGTGATG